TAGTGATCCTTGAAGTTCTTCAAGAAGAGGAAACTCATAGCCTCAGGACACTAGGGGATAGGTGTGGCTACTGTTGGAATGGATAAAAGAGTTGATAGATTAAGAGATAGGCAGTTTCTGAGGACATCTCAGCCTTTCTATCACTTTTCCTCCCAATATATGTGAAATAGGGAGCTGAACGTGTGTGAAATGTTCAAAAAGAAAAGGTCTTCTCCCTTCCTTCCATTCAGATACACCCTCATGGTTTTCAAATAATATGCATGAGTAAGGGAGAAGAATGGAATCCTGGCTACTACAGTGTTGCTGTTGTTTGTTCTTCTTTCGCAAAGGAGGACCATGACATCAGGGAGGTAATGCCATGATTTGCAAGAGAATAGGATTTAAGTGATTGAGGGCTGTCCTAAGTCACTAGCCTCACTTTCTCCTCTGGAGCCATCTGGGTCCAGTAGCCAGATATGGATCAGGACAACCAGAGATGGCCCAGGACGCAGTAAGGGACTTTGGCCTTTTCAAACTAAGGCTTTTTAACAGGTCTCAGTTTGACTGAGGCAGCACCCATTTGTTGATTAAGGCTTAATTAAAAAATGAGGCAAAGAATGGCCTCTTTTAAAAAAAAATAGATCTGGGAGGGGAAGACTCTCAAGGTTTCTGGCTAAAACAGAAACAATTGTCATTTACATTCATTCTGAGCCAATCAGGGCCCAAACAGTGACCAAGTAGGGCTTAGTCTGGGACCAGAGTGATTTGGGGTTAAGGCTAGTCTTAAAGAGAAAAAAACCAAAACAAGAAAAAAAGTTTCAGAGATGAAAATTTACATTCCCTTTGGGCAGAGCACCTCTAGATGGTTCAAAGAATGAAGTTTATCTGTGTTCAGTCTCTCCTCTATTTTCCAGTCACTAAGACAAAGTTTCAATAAAATTAAAAGGGTTTCTCTTCTTCATGTTGACTACATGAGATGGCAAGTAATTCAAACTTGGAAGAGAATACAGCCTGGCATCTCTCCTATGAGCCTGACACATAGAGCCTTGAACTCCCATGTCAGTTTACAAATGGGAATTTGTAAAAGTGTGATTAATTTTGTAAGTTTATTAAATAAAATTATAAGTTAAAAGGAGAAATATTTAGAGCAGATTCAACTGAAAAAAGTATACAGTTAAAGTGATAAAGTGGTAACTTTTCCTGAAACTTAAAAAATGTCCTTTTCAGTCTATAGCCATCCTAGTCCTTTTCTTGGACAATAGTAATCCAGCTTTTATTTTAAAACTCACCCCAGCCTAGTTTGATTTCTCAGTGCCTGTGTCAGGCTGTTTTTAGATCATTAAAGTAGTTCCCTTTTCTGCTGCTTGTTCTGAAACAGCCACAAATGTTATGTCATTGTGTTTCTACAATCATTCATGAACCTGTTTCTTTTCTTCTTTTTTTTTGGTGAGGCAATTGAAGTTAAGTGACTTGCCCAGAGTCACACAGCTAGTGTCCGAGGCAGGATTTGAACTCAGTTCCTCCTGACTCCAGGGCTGGTACTTTATCCACTTCGCCACCTAGCTGCCCCTAAGAACCTGTTTTTACCTAATTCTTTCAATAATCACTGCTAAACACTTCCTTTTCTCTTTTTTCCAGTATGAGAAATTGGCTTTATCCCTCCCTCTCTTGAAACTTTTAATATACTGAAACAGTTGGTTATTTATAGATCTTAGTTACATCACTGAAAAAACAACTAAGGTAAATAATTTTTTTAAAAAAATTAGATTTTAACAAGAGGCATACCACACCTCACTTGTGTCATATTAATCAGGGATAAAAATACTTTCATTAACTATTTAGCATAGATGATGAAACTCTCTCTCTCTCTCTCTATATATATATATACACACATACAATATTTTTGTAACTGTAAAGTGGTATATAAAAATGTGAGTTATTATTGTTTTCTTTGTTACTTGGTACCAAAAATGATTATAGGGTCATAGATTTAGAGGTGGAAAGGACCTCAAAAAATAATTTAGTCCAAACATGTCATTTTACAGACAAAGAAAGTAAAGTCCAGAGAGTTTAAGTCATCCAAGCATCTCGGTCTAGGGGTGCTGGGAATCCCCAAATGCAAGGGTACAGGGCCCAGGTCTGCCTCAAAAGGATTTGACCACTCAAACCTTCTTTCAGTCCAAGTAGCAAATTTATTTTAACACCAATCGTGGGCCAGACTCCCAGTCTGCACTATTTGTGATGCCAATACAAGTGGGCCAGATTTTAAGAATCTAAGCAATTGATGAGGGTAAGACTGATAGTGGGAAGATCTGGATGGGATTAAGGGATAGCAAGTAGCCTGGAGTGGGGCCAGGTATAGACAATGGAAGGAGTTAAATGGTGTGAGAGCCCCAGTGAAAGGGCAGTTAAAAGGATTATTGACTGGGATGGGCCTGGTGCCTCAGGTGAATGCCAGAGGTTCAGGGGCTTTGGGTTCCAGGTCCCAAACACATGGTCTTTTCCTTTTAGGGGCCCATCACTCACACCCCAACACAAGGTCACCCAGGTAGTGGGTAGCAGATCTGAGATTTGAACCCAGGTCTTCTGACTCCTAAATCCAGTGTTCTTTCTCTACTAATATCCTACTTCTCAAAGAAAAGGAGTGAGAATTCTACCATAAATGTGTTGGAAGCAAGGGGGAAAAAATGTTGAAAGAAAGGTATAATTAAACTTACAAGTGAGGGGTCAGAGAGGGATGCCAGTAGTAGAAACACATAGAAGCCTGGACCCTTGTGGTGAAAGACCCTAATCATACACACAACTCAATCACTGCCTTTGCAGAAGGGGTATGTCACCCCAGACACTCCAGTCCTAACATTTGTGTCAAAGCTGAAGAATTTATCCATGACTTCTTTTTGAATCCTTTCTATAAAATTCTCAATGGTTTTTATCTTTTTTATTAGCTTTTGACTATAAACGAATTTACTTTTAGTTCATATTTTTAGTGAAATAATCTTACTAAAGAATATAGTCATGGTTTCTCAGCATTGAAGGCTTCAACAATCTAGCCTTAGTGCAACTTTTCAAACTTATTATTACTGCTTTCCAAAAGGAGCCTTATACTCCAGCTAGACAGGACTCTCACTATTTTTTGAACATGCCATATTCAATTCACTGAGCCTTTGGTTTCTTACTTCTTCACCCACATCTTCTCCCTTCACTCCCCAAATTGAAATGTTGGTTTATAGCCTCTGTTCGCTGATCACATAATCAGGTGGAAGCCCAGCTCCTCTCTTTCTATACATAAGAAGGACAAAAAACCTGTGAGTAGTCCCAGCTCCCTCTTACCTCTCCCCTCTTTGTCCACATGGGGTATCATGCCCTTACCTGTGGGTTCTCTGCCCAAAGGAATGTAAATTTTGATGGCTGAAACCCAGCAAGATATCTTGGGCATTACTGGCTAGATTTCTTTCTTAAAGACCATGCCTTAAACACAATACACTGTGGCTCTGATTGATTGGCCAGCAATAGGTCCCAGCCCAAGCACCACTCAGTAGTGATTGTTTGGGCCCAGATGTCTCAGAATGAATATAAATAGTAATTGTTTCTGTTGTGGCCAGATACCCAGAGGGATCCCCTCCCATATTGTGTTCTTTTCTTTTCTTTCTTTCTTTTTGATTAGATAAAAGGGATGCTCCTTGACTCATTTCTTAACCAGCCTTAAACACTGAATGGGTGTTGCCCCAGTCACAGTGAGAACTTGGAAAGACCTTAGCTTAAAAAAGCCAACTGACTCCCACTGCATCCTGGGCTATATCTTGCCACAGGACCCAGATGGCTCTGGAGGAGAAAATGACGCTGGTGATTTTGCACAGCTCTTCCTCACTTAAATCTAATTCACTTGCAAGTCATGGCATCATCTTCCTGATGTCAAGGTCCTCTTCAAGAAGCAAGGACAAACAACAATCAGGTGGAAACCCAGCTCCTCTCTTTTAATGTGCATGTATTAGCCAAATATCATCTTTTGTTGTGAATGATGACTTCAGTTGACAATATTTTGACTTCCAGGTTTGTAGATTAAGAAAAAAAAAAGATTGATTCTCATATCTTTTTTCCCTTTCTAGGAAAAGGAGGAGGGGCAGGGAATAAGTATTTATTAAATCCATTATATGTGCCTGGTACTGATCTAAGCACTTTATAAATATTATCTCTTTTGGTCCTCTAAACAACCATGGGAGATAAGTGCTTTTATGACCTCCATTTTGTCATTGAGAAACTGAGACAGACAAAGGTTAAATGGCTTGCCCAGGGACACATAGCTAGTAAGTATCTGAGACCCAATTTGAACTCAGTTTTTCCTGACTCCAGGTCCAGCATTCTATCCCTGTGCCACCTAACTGCCTTTAGGAAAAGTGGCTAGTGTTCCAGATTTTTTACATAATATTCAATTTGTCATTTTAGCTATAACTACTACTTAAGTACATCTCAAGAATCTTTGGAAGGTCAATAGAGGAACAGGTTCTACCAGTCAAATGGAGGTCTAAGACATTTCCTAGGAATTCCAGGAGTAGGCCCTAAAATGAAGACTGTTATCTGGAATAGATGCAGTTGTTAGCTCTTGTGATGTGTCCAGTCATATTTGTTTTATACAATTACCACACTTTACCCCAGGACTCTTATGATATTCTATAGTTTCTAGTTTACTTTCTTTTATGTTGTTGCTTCTGAAAAACTTACATATGCACCTGTTGATAGGGTGAGAACAATTGATATTTGACATATTCAAGTTGGTGATCATTTATGAGGCTTTTAAAAAATGAAGCTCATAAAAGAAGACATACAAAAATTATTAGTTTGGCTGCGCATGGGAAGATTCTGACCATAAACTGGTGTGGTATTTGTTATTTTAAAGAATAGGAAATCATCAAATATCTCTGGGAGTTTATGTTTTGCCCCGACCTGCAGGGCCAGTATACGTGGGGGGTCGAGGAGGACCCTGGCTGAAGGGAATGGGTGAAAAGGAGGAGTGAGACCAAAAGGATGGTAGGCAAGGTCTAATTTTATTTTTGAGCGTTACAAGCTTATATAGGGCAAAAGCGGGGAGGGGCAAAAGGGGAAAATGGGCCTCCGGGACTTTCCAGGGGCGGTGTGGCGACATCTTGCGGTTAGCCCTGACAGGAACACGTTATGGTACGGTTTGTCCCGGAACAAGCTGCTTGGGGTGTGGTAATCTCACGGGGTTAGGGGCCCACTACCAGGTGCTGGCCTCCAGCATGTCCCCCATTTTGTATTTAAAATAGCAGGTGAGAGGCCTGTCTTAGGCTATGAGGTCGGCCTCCATGTTCAAAGCGCATTAGTGGCAGTGGTCCCTGTCTTAGGCTAAGCGAGGGGACCCCACGATGTAACCCATCATGGCCTCACTCTATTCCCGTCATGGGGAAACAACTGCAGCCGCGCTGATCTTTTTTTTGAAACATGGGACCTCAATATTCCCGTCATGGGCTCTCTCACAGCCGCCAGATCACTTTTTATCCTTAATATTTCTCCACCACCGCGAGCAGCGAGATTCCGGATGCACGAGCTTCGAGAACTGGAGACCCTCTTCCATGGTATCAGTAGGATCTTCTGACGAAGCAAGTTGGTGGTAATGGATATTGACGGTGTTTTTAAGAGAAGCCTCAATCTGCGTCTTAATGAAAGAGGTTAGTCTGGTAAAGGCCCAAGGTCCAAAAGAAAAAAGTAGGAGGAGACCAATTAAAGGTCCAAGAAGAGGGAGGAGGTATGGGAGGACTCCATTCAAGCCACTCCAGAGGGGATTTTCAAAAAGTTTTCTGCGTCTTTCAATCAGATCCTCTTGCAGTTTTTTGATTTTATCCCGCACTATCCCAGATTTATTTGCATAGAAGCAACATTTTTCTTGTAGGGCTAAGCAAATTCCCCCTTGTTCTGCCGTGAGTAAATCTAGGCCCCTCCTATTCTGAAGAACGACTCCCGCCAGGGAGTCAATTTGGTCTTGAAGGTCATTTATCGTCCCCGAGAGGGTTTGCACATCATTAAGAAATTGATGGGATAGTTTTGTATATGAATCAACAGCAACTCCTATGCCGGCAGAGCCGGTAGCGAGTGCCCCTGTAATCCCAAGGCCAACAAGGAGGGGGATAAATGCAACAGCCCTCTTGGGTCTTCCAGTAATATAATCAAAACTGGGCAGTGGGACAGGCTCATCTCCCGGAATGATGTCGATATCAGGGAGGATTGAAATTTGTGTGCAGAGTCCTGTCCAATTCTGGGGGAGAGCAGAGTAGGCCATATTTCCCCCACAGGCGAAAAGTTGTCCCGGCAGGGGACAGAGAGGTTCCTGTGAGGTATAGTTTTTGACTTCAGAGCAATTAGCAAAGGTAGCAAAACCAACATCAATATCAGCAGTGGAATTCTGAAATGGGGCTTGGATACAAGGAGAGGGGCGGAGACCAACAGGTTGTACCTTAAAAGGTGGACTAAGTGTGCAATTTGTGGATGTGGAGCCATTTTTGGACATCAAAGCTATGGGCATAGGTGTGCCAAGGGCCATACACAGCCAGCAATCGGCAGCCAAATCAGGGTTAGAGTAATTAAGGGCCTTAAGTGTTGCTTCAAGGATTTCTGAAGTTTGGACATCTAGGTCCGTTCCCCGGGGTTTGGGCAGTGCAAGTGGATGGTAATGGATGGGGGGATACATACTCTTAATTATTTCATTTATTCGTTCCCTAACCTCATGTTCCCTAATTTGGTCTGTAGGGCCACCCCCATCAGAGATATGGACAGGTGCATGAAGGGGCCAACAGACATTTTTTCCAATATTTTCTTTACGACAGGAAGCCTGAGCATACTTATTGGTACTTCCACGTAGGCCTTGGCTAGTTATATGCGCCCAGTCCCTCCTGTGGAGCCACCATATTCTCTTTCCTGTATTGTAGTAAGATAGACTGTTCCTGAGCTGCCACTGCACTGCTGGGTAGAACTATAGCATGTGGAGTGCAAGGCCTCAAGGTAGTTGCAATCACTGGGGCAAGGCCCGGGCTGGCCACCATTCGGAGGGATAACTCGGGGCTTCCTTACGCATTCCCACTTGGGTTTGGAGACGCCCGTGATAGAATGACGGTAGGCGAGGTAGGCTGTCTTTTCCCCGCAGTCCACTTCTTGCGTGTAGGTGGCGGGACGGACAGTGAACGTGCCCCCGCCGCAGTCACAAGGGCTTCCAAAGAGGGCACGGCTGAGCGCTACTGGGTCAGGAGATTGAAAACCACCGTGGCTCCCACGGAACAGGAGGAAAATTACGAGGATCGTCATTTTCTGTAAAACAGAGAAAGAAAACAGAGGTGTCTCAGGGGGGTGTGGTTCCCTGGACGGCATTATGAGTTTCTGGCTTGTCCATCAACCTAATCAGCCTTTCAGGCAACCATCTAGCATTTTGGCACTTTGAGTCATAAATACAAGCATGGCCTTTGCCCCAGATTAACACAGGATCAGGGCCCTGCCATTTGCCAAGCAGGGGATCTTTCCATTTTGCCTGAGCGTAGGTTTGGGCCGTAGTGGAATGCCAAAGGCGGTCTGCGGCACTCTTTGCCGCAGTGTCCAGAGTGAGAAAATTTAAAACAAAAAGAGCGTGATTGAGCAATGTTTTGGCATTGCCAGCTCTGGGATAAAGAACTTCCCTCCCTGATTGTAATTTCAGGATCATGTTTTTCAGTGTCTGATGGGCCCTTTCCACAATTCCTTGCCCTTGAGGATTATAGGGTATACCAGTAACATGCTTAATATGCAACTGTGTACAAAAAGATCTGAAAGAAGAACTGGTATAACCAGGGCCATTATCTGTCTTAAGAATTTTGGGCTGCGGGAGGACCGCCAAGGCACTAAGGAGGTGATTAATGACATGTTTGGTGGCCTCTCCAGGTTGCAGGGTGGCAAAAATGAAGCCACTGAAGGTATCAATGGACACATGAACATATTTAAGCCGACCAAAAGGGGGATAGTGAGTGACATCCATTTGCCAAAGTTCCCCGGGGATAAGACCTCGGGGATTGATGCCATTATGAGGTTCAGGAAGGAGGGTCAGGCAACCAGGGCACTGTTTCACAATCTGTCTGGCTTGTTCCCGGGTTATAGGGAACTTGAGACGAAGCGTATGGGCATTCAGGTGATGCAGCTTGTGGGCTTGTGTGGCAGCCTCAACAGGGGAGGCAGACAGAGCAAGCAGAATGCGACGAGTTACTTGATCAACCTGATCATTCCCTTCAGAAAGAGGACCGGGGAGGTCGGAATGGGCACGAATATGACCAATGAAAAAGGGGTGATCGCGGGAGAGAATTAGAAGCTGAAGAGTGGCAAAAAGAGGAGACGCATTAGTGGAGGGACGGATATACGGGACGGTTTCCAATAGAGGGACTGACTGTGCAATATAGGAACTATCAGTATAAACATTGAGGGGGCCCGAGACAGATTCAAAAACCTTAATGACCGCTGCGAGCTCTACCAGCTGCGCGGAGGTGAAAGGGGTGTCAAAAGAGGTGACCTGTCCATCAACACTAAAGGCTGCCTTCCCTGTGGCGGAGCCATCAGTGAACGCCAAATGGGCGCTCTCTATGGGCTCCGCTTTGGTGATCCTTGGGAAGACCACGGGTGTTTTCTGAAAGAACTGAATGAGCTTATCTGAGGGATAATGATTGTCTATAGCTCCCATATAGGAAATGCAATTAACTGCCCAATCATCATCATTCTGAAGCAGCCATTGAATCTGCGAAGCAGTGTAGGGGCAAACAATATGATCTGGTTCTCGACCAAAAAGTCGAAGGGCTGCCTCTCGGCCGAGGCGCAGGAGCCCTGCCGTTAAATGCGGGTAGGAAGAAAGGATCTTTGTAGGTGTGGCTGGCATATGAATCCAGAATAACGGATGTCCTGCCACAATAATCCAGTGGGAGAAAAAGTGGTGGAAAAAATTAAGAACCAAAGAGGTTTTTGAGGAGCGTAATAGCCAATATGTTGTTCATGAATGGCTTGCTCAATTAAGGCAAGGGCCTTACGGGCCTCCGGCGTGAGAGAGCGGGGTGAATTTGGATCGGAGTCTCCTTTAAGAATATCAAACAAGGGTCGCAGTTCCCCTGTAGTGATCTTAAGATATGGCCGAAGCCAATTCAATTCTCCCAGTAATTTTTGGAAATCATTAAGGGAGCAAAGGTGACTCACTCGTAGGCGAACCTTCTGGGAGAGAATGCGATTCGTCAAGAGTTCAAATCCCAAGAACAGCTGGGGGGGCAGGTTTGCACTTTATCAGGGGAAATATTAAGGCCCCGATATTCCAACGCCTTAATGAGCTCCTGTGATACCTGAGTCAATTCCTCATTATTTGGTCCTGCAAGGAGGATATCGTCCATATAATGGATAATATAAAGCTTGGGATACTGCAAGCGGAAAGGATCAATTGTTTGGGCAACATATTTTTGGCACAGCGTAGGGCTATTAGCCATGCCTTGTGGCAAAACTTTCCACTGAAAGCGCGGAGAAGGGCCCACACAATTGGTAATAGGAACACTAAAAGCGAAGCGCTGACAATCGGAAGGGTGGAGGGGAATGGAAAAGAAGCAATCCTTAAGATCAATTGTAATCTTAGAAAAATCTTGCGGTATGGCTACAGGGGAGGGGAGCCCAGGTTGAAGGGCCCCCATAGGAATCATAGTTTTATTGACGGCCCGTAAATCATGTAAGAGTCGCCATTTACCTGATCTTTTTTGGATAACAAAAATGGGCGTGTTCCACGGGGATGTAGATGGTTCTATGTGACCTGCAGCTAGTTGCTCCTGCACTAAAGCAAGCGCTGCCTCCAGTTTTTTCTTGGGTAAGGGCCACTGGTCTACCCAGACGGGTAGGTCATTTCTCCACGAGATCCTATCTGCCTGGAGTGCAGGAGGACCCGTGGCCCTCACGAAAAATGGTTCTGATTATCTGGGCTCTCACAACCAAGGCCTGCTCGTCCTTTTCTCCCTTCAGCAACAATGGGGGACAGTTGCCCTTGACCTTTCTTGCCTAATCCTTGCCCTGGGAGAAATCCCTGGGAGAGCATTTGACGGGTCACAACGGTATTTGGGCTGCACATAATTACCCCCATCTGTGAAAGAATGTCCCTTCCCCATAAGTTGACAGGTAAGCCGGGGATCACAAAAGGCCGAACAGTCCCTTTATTTCCTTCTTTGTCTTGCCAAGGCAGCCATTGAGAGCTCTGTAGGGTATTGTGGGATTGACCTATGCCCTGCAAGTGTGTCATGGATGGTTGAAGGGGCCACGAAGATGGCCAACTGTCTTTTGAGATAACAGTCGAGTCAGCTCCTGAATCTAATATTCCTTCAAAAAGCCTGCCTTGAATAAAAAGCGTAAGCATGGGGCGGTCTTGGGAAATGGCCTGGACCCAATAGATGTCTGAGGAACCAGGCTTGGAGTGGCCTCTAACAGTGGCGAGAGCAGGGTATGGAGTCTGTAGGGGGAGCGGGAGAGCCTGCGCAAGGCGTTGTCCCTGACGGACAGTGAGGGGCCCTTTCAGGGTTGAGGCAAGTATCTGAATTTCCCCCGTGTAATCACTATCCACAATGGAGGGGTGAATCATGAGGCCATTAATAGTAGCGGAGGCGCGACCAAGGATGAAAAAATAGAAGTCAGGGGGCGGGGGCCAAAGATGCCTGTAGGAATAATATGGACGCCACCCTCGGGAGTCAATACTGAGGTGGAGGCGGCACACAAGTCCACCCCTGCGCTTCCTGCAGTGGCTCTGAAGAGTGGGATGTGGAGTGGGGTGTGGACTGGCTGATCCCCGAGGCCCGAACAAAGGGGTCGACTGGGGGGCCCGGGGCTGGCCCCTCCGACCGTTTCCCTGTAAAGGGTGGCCATGAACGTCTGTAGTTGAGCGGCAGGTATTTGCCCAGTGTTTCCCTTTCCTACACCGAGGGCAGAGGGTGGAGGGTTGGGAAGCCTTATTGCTGATTGGAGCGGAGGGAGTGTCAGGGGCACTAGGGCACTGTCGGGCAAAATGGCCAGGTTGACCACACCGGAAGCATGCCTTTTGGGAGTCCCCGGTTTGGAGAGCTGCCCCTATGGCCAGATGTACGGCCTGGGACATTTTGGTAGTGAAGGGATCTACATCTCTGCACATACGTATCATTTCCTCTAATGTTTTATCTCTCCACTTCCCGCGTAAGGCAGACCGACAGGCATTGTTAGCATTTTCATATGCTAAGCGTCTCACAAGCTGATCATTAGACGCTTCTTGCCCTAAGGTTCGTTCAGTTGCTTCCAAGAGCCTACTAACATACTCAGAGAAATCTTCCTGAGTTCCTTGTACGATCTTATTAAGCGGAGCAAGGGGGGATCCAGAAGTGGGCAAGGCACGCCAAGCCGCGAATGCAGCATTGGCGGTTTGCGCCAAGAGGCCTATTGGGAGGCAGCGTTGTTTGGCCTCCTCTGCGTATTTCCCTTGACCACTCAACTTCTCATAAGTCCACTTTAAAGCGGGGGAGCCAGGGGATTTTTGGTTGGCTGTAGCCATGGATTGGCAGCGGTCGAAGAAATCTGCTTTCCATGTCAAGAACTGCCCCCTTGAAAGGACTGCCTGTACTACACGAAGCCATTCTGCCGGCAAGAGATATCCTCCGCGGGACATAGATTCAAGAGCTGAGAGGGTGAACGGGGCGTTAGGACCATAGGACTTGACGGCGGCGTTAAGATC